AAATCCAGAGCATCATATAGTGCACGTCCTTTTAAAACCAGCTGGTTCACCTCATCTCTTATTCTTCATGGCACTGAATTCATTAAGTGGTTAGAAACTCAATTGTAGCAGGCATAGCTGCTGAATATTGCTGTCTTGACAAGAATATAGGTATTAATCTGACTAAACTTGTCTCCAGTTAAGGGAGATAATGCGATATGAGTAATCGAATGGATTGAAGCCCAGGAAACGGACAAATCTTCTGAAGTAAAGCAGCAAGTCATTAGATAAGAAGAATTCGTGGCCTTCTCAGAAATGCTACAAACCAGCTTCAGCCAGTTCCTAAAGATAAATCACTGATGATTTTACCTTTGAATTTAACTAAGTGCTAGCTGGAACACTAATGAGTTCAATAATGCTGAGAGCAAGAGCTTTTCAGTACCATCACCCCAAATAACATGTAGCCACACCAACCAGTGAGTCTGTAGGCCAGGCATTCCCAACAGCCTTTGTTACCTAAACTCTGAAATCTTTGTTCATCTTCAGTGTTTGAACTGGGTAAGAAAGTCATATGCAAAATGAGGCAAAAAGAAGCATTTAGATGAGGTTGTCTCATGTGCCGCATCCCTGACATCAGTTAGTTGCAGGTCAGGTAACAAGCATTGCAGTGGGTGTGGAAAACAGGGTAATATTTACAGGAGAAATGAGAGCATCTAAATTGCCATAAGGATAGCAGCAATAACCACACAGCAAAGCGGGATATTCTGTTAGCTTCAGATTTGCTTGTCAAGTTCTTTGCTATTCTTCCTCAGTGGATTTTTGTATATGAGGCAATTTTGATTAAGTCATCAATCTCCTGTGCTTTCCCTGAGCATTTATCATTCCATAGGCTTGGGGAAGAATAACTGTACGTTTTTAGCCAATAATAGGGAAACTGAAATATCCCTGCTTTTCTTCATCATTGTCCATTTTCCCTACTTCTCTCAAATTGAACAAAAACCCAAAACCAAGTGCGTATTAGCTTTACAAAAAGACACATAAATCT